AATAAGCTTGTTGATCTGGTCCTCCCTGTTGCCAGCATCTCCACCTTCTACAAAATGGATGGTCTTTTTCTTCATTCCATCTCATGGAGAAGATAATTTGAAGGGCCACAGGAAGTTATTTGCTTCCTTGAAATATTTTCCAAGAGTGTAGCTCTCATGATCAGATCCTCCATGCAGATGATGCCATATTTACCAAGAGATGGAGCAATCAAGGCGTTATCTGTCAAAGCAGTTTGCTTCGTACTAATTTTGCCATAACCACGCTTGTAGATTAGTTCATTTACTGACTTCAGATTTGGGTACCCCCATGCAAGATATGGTTCTACAATCCTCAGCATGTTAATTGAAGCCTTGTTGAGCTTCACAAAGGTTCCATTGAAGATTTGATGAAGGCGAAGAAGCTGCAACACCTTTCAGACCTTTGGGCTCACACCATTGATACCTCTGATCCTGATGACAAACGCTAATTTGGGTTCTGCAGGTACATGGAAGTTGCCAGCTTTTCTTGCCATCCTGGCCATTCACATTTCAGCTCTGTACATCTGCCTGTATTCCTTGTGAAGTGCTTCGCTTTTTCATAGATAAGCTTCCTCGTTGCCTTTCGAAGCATCTTTTGTGCAAACTTCCTTCTCAGGCGCTTGATCTTCAGCTCTGCGAAATTCCTTTGCTTTTTCTTAAGGGTTTCTGGCACAACAGAAACCTCCTTCTTCTTCTTTTCTTCTATACTCTCCATGGTTCCAGCTGGAAAAAAGGAGATTTTTTTTCTCCTGTTTTGTCATCAGTAGACTTGAAGACATTTATTGAAAATATCATTCTTTCCTCACAGCATTACAATGTCACCTTTGTCATAAATCAGAGGTGCCACCAAGTAGTTGATTCTACCTTGATTGTACTAAATACATGACTAATCTCTCGGCACAGGCAGGGGTGACTAAGAAAGGCCAGGACAGGATCAGAGGTCCAGAAAATTTCCAGATTCACTGCCCCACAGACTAGGTTTAAATATCCTTCTCCCAGTAAAATGACTTTAATAGAATCATAGTATGAACACATAGACAGTTCACAAACAAGATGGTTAAGAAACTATCCTCTCCATTAGAAGATGGATATGGAGTGGAACCATATGAAATGGAATTTAAAGAAACGCAATACCTACTTTCAAGTTAAATTCAGTTTCTCACAAGATTCAACTGAAAATGATTATTACTTTGCTTAATGCCAGTTTTCACAATAAAGGAAAGCCTTTTCTTGAAACAGGCTTGGCTCATGCCCATTTCTTGGGGTTCATCCATCACATCTCCCTCAGCAGAGTGCAGAATTAGACACACAGAGCCTTTACCTTCTTGCTTATTTTAATTACTCTGTGAAGGGCCTTTTGTTCATCTCCAGCTGCTTCTGGCAACCTAAAATCTTTCAGGATTTCTAAGATTCATCCGGGTCTGGGATGCTGATAAGGCAGGGTCTCCTTAGATAGATGGGCACCCATCCAAGGGCCCCATCCAGCTTAACCTATGGAGGACATCAGCTCTCTGGCCAAGCCCTCATTCATCCAGAGAATACAGCTTCCTTCCATCAGCCAGATTCAGGGTGGGATATGAAGTGGAATCCTTCTTCTTAGGGAACTTGGACTGGTCTAGGCACCTTCAAGTTCAGGGAGTTTCCCTCCACCTCTGCGTCTCTCTCCTGGGACTGACCCTAAAGTCTTGGCTGTGGTGAATGAGAAATATTGTTCAGCAACAAACCTCATTGGAGCAACAGCTTCTTTTGTAGGTTTCCATTTGGTGAACAAGTGCAGTTGAGCACCTTCTGTGTATTAGCACTCAACATCTATTCCCAGTACTTGAGAGACTTAGTTTACCTCTAACAGTCTCTACTGAAACTTGGGGCCTGACAAACTTCACTAATGCTTGATCACCTGACCTCAAGTCTTACTCATTCCTATTCCCCGCCATATTAGCTGAGTATTTTGTAATGAATCTCATCTGTCTGCTGTGTATTATACCCCACTTTGAACTTCTGTTTTGACTTGAGTGAATCCATGTCCTGTTAACCAGGAAGACTCCAACTTAGCTGAAGTCCTACGTTCTTAAGTGTCTTGAGATGCTTTGCTGCTGCCCCAGGATCTGCCATTGATCTCAGGACAAAGCAGTGCACTTGTCAAGAGAGAATTAATCTTGTTCGTGTAATGCCATCCATGTGTTGGGGTCCTGTGTTTTTCCTGTGCCCAATGACAAAAGATATAACAATGACAGGGAGTTAGGACTGTGGCATAATGTCCCCACAATTGTCATGCCTTATTTTCATCAGGAAAGAATCCCAGTCACTACAAGCCTTTGCCACCCTAGACATAGTATAATTTTGATCTTGTTCACCCGTTTGCTCTATATGTACACAGAATGGCTATTTTAGGCTCTTTAATGTCTGTTCTTTTAAAATAGCTTTTTAAAGAGACTCTTCTGTTTTGTGTTTATGTTTCTTAATCTCTGCACATTTAAAAACCATTGTATATAATAGAGTCACAGACTTTCGGAACCTAGATATATTAGATGCCATTAGTTCAGTCTTTTCATGACTACATAATACTGTGAGATTTCTCTCTCCAGAGATATTTTTAAACTTCTTTTACAATCACAGGAAGTCAGAGCTGGAAGACAACTAAGGACTGTGCTCGGCCAGCAATGTCATTCTGCAGACAAGGACTCTGAGGAGGCAAGTGACTGGACCACACAGGCAGTGGTGGGATAGGGTCCTGGATCTCCAGACCCTCAGTCTGGGGCTCTTTCTTCATGCAGACAGGGCTGCTTCTCACTTCCAATTTCACTTCCTAATTGTAACCCAAAGACAGCCAGGCGTTTCTCATGGAATCTGTGAATGTGCTTGTCATGAAACACTAATCACTGCCAGGATTTAAGGTAACATAGAAATACCCGAAATGTCTTTTGGGCAAGAGCCATGAATCCCAATGGGAGTAGGCTGGGATAAGTAGTTATGTTAATAAAACTTTTCCACATCAAAAGTGTGAGTCAGATGCAAAGTATAAATACCTTTAAGAGGTTACATGCAGAGGGAATTTAGTTTTAGTACAAATAGATCATTTGTTTGCATCCCTTTCTGAAATAAGGAGGGTAGAAGTTATGTCTTTCAAATTATACTGATCACTAAAAAAAGGGAAACCATCTGCAGGAGGGTCCTTTTCCTTGTGGACTGCTGTCCTGTATAATGTTTCTGATAAAGCTTGAGCTTCCAGCCCAGCAGAGGAGAAGAGGAGAGTGTGTCTTTTCTTCCCTCTGTCTTAGCTGCATTCAGAAAGTTCCACCTCTGCCCCTTTCCCCTGCAAGTGCCCCTGGTCCCAGCTCCTTCCTGAGGCCTGTTGCTCTAGGTGCTCTACAGCCAGGCAGCAGTGGCTGTGGGTCTGGGGCCTGTGGGAACCTCCTGTGATGGAGTACAGAGCACTGTTAAGGAGAAAGGAAACATTAGAGTCAGTTTTTCTTCTGCTCCTCGGGGCTCCCCTTTTCCTGCCCATCTTTCTCCTAGGATAGACTGAGCTAAGCAGAGAGGCTCAGAGGTGTGCCTTGTAAACTTCAGAAATTTTCCTACCCATCACACCCAGGGTTTGTTTCTGCCTGCTTTGTGTCACCTCCACCCCACCCTCTGCTCCTGAAGCAGGGATGTTTGTGGCTGAATGAGGAGGGTGGAGTAGATGGGAGTGTGTTTACAGCCTCCTCTGGGCTTGTGCCTGGTGACTAGAAGGAGCTGGATGGGAACTTTATGGATTGGACAGCCCACTTCTCCCAGGAAGCACCCAGTCTACCGAGGAGATGATAATTGCTTATCTGATGGCCTCTGGTATAAAGTGGTGCCTGAACTGAGTGTTTCTTCATTACTTCTCAGATGCCAGCACCAGTCCTAGGCTAGTGTATCAGTAGAAGCCAGATCTGAGCTGAGATGGTGATTCTGTCCTCTCTGGAGAGGCCATTGTCCCCAAGAGGCATTCATGTGTTGATTTGCAAAACACTGTTGAGTTTCTCTTTGCCTGTTTGGAGATTTTTATGCAAAGGGATCTCCATTCCTAGAATTCACTGAAAGCAATCCCTGGCATGCCCTCTGCAACTCATCATGTTAATGGGAAAGAAGGGCTGGAGACCAGCCAGGCTACCCCCTCCCCTAGCCATGTCAGGATGGCTATATTGATTGCAGAGTCTGATGGAAGATTATGGCGATGGATGGGGATTCACTTGGCTTTTGCAAGGCCACTGACGGTGGAGAAATAAAGCTCTGGCTCTGGAGCCTGTCTTCTCAACTGGGCTTCCAGCCAGGTCTTCCTTGCCATCCTCCTACTCCCCCCCTAGTCCATCATGCACACCCAACCAGGTCTGGCTTCCCTGAACACCTCTTAGTCAAACTCCCCAATTGCTTAGAACCCCTTAATGGGTCCTCTTGGCCTGGACTCAGGGCCCTATAGGATCAGGTATACATCTACAAACAATTGCCTTTACAATCTTATCACTGATGAAGCCTGCCCTCTGCAGTGAAACCCAAGACCAGATGGAGTCTTCTCATAGTCCCCTAAAAGTTCCAGGCTTATTTGTACCTCCATGCCTTTCCCCAGATTGTTCCCCATGTCTTCTGAGCTCACCTCCATCTGCTCAAATTCAGTTCCTCCTTGAGTATTTGGCTTATGCCATACCTCCCTAACCATTGGCCCACATGCCTTTTTCTTTTCTTTCTTTCGTTTTTGTTTGTTTGTTTTTGAGACAGGGTCTTACTTTGTCACTCAAGCTGGAGTGCTGTGGTGCAATCTCAGCTTACCACAGCTTTGAGCTTCTGGGCTCAAGTGATCCTCCTGCCTCAGCCCCCCAAGTAGCTGGGACTACAGGCATGTGCCACCATGCCTAATTTTTTGTATATGTATTTTGTGTAGAGATGGGGTTTTGCCCTGTTGCCAGGCTGGTCTTGAACTCCTGAGCTCCATCGATCCACTAGCCTTGGCCTTCCAAAATGCTGGAATTACAGGCATGAGCCACTGCACCTGGCTGGCCTTTTTTTTTTTTTTTTCCAACTTTCTATCTCTTTCAAAGTTAACTGGTTACCTTTCGCCTCCTCCGCTCCGCAGGCTATGCAGTAGCCCATTTCTCTGATATGTAATACCTGAGGGCAGTAACTGTTAGACCCTCCAGTCCACGGCAAAATGTGAGATGAACACATGCTATTTCTTGGGTAAATGGGGAGAGATGAATGCTTGAAATAATGAACTCTCTCTGGACAATTTAGCATCATTTCCTTCTTAACCTGGTGTTCATGTACCCATTTTAAAGTGACGACTAAAGGTATTGATGGGGATGGGGAGAGGTGGAAGCAGGATTCTCAGAACGGTTTCCAGCATAGCAGTGATGATGAGCAGGACTGAGATGGAGCAGGTACTAGATGAAAAACTGAAACCAAAACCCAAAGAAAGCAAGAAATTGAATTTGACATACCTGGGTGAAGGAAGATGGGTGTACTGGGTTGAATAAATATCCCTTGTAAGTTCACATCTACCTGAAATCTTAGAATGTGACCTTACGTGGAAATAGGGTCTTTGCAGATATAATTACGAGATTAGGGTGGGCCCTAAATCCAATGACGGGTGTTCTTGTAAGAGGAACGGAGGATACACAGAAAAACAGACCATGTCTTCCATGCTGCCCTGGATGGAGGGGCCCATCAAGCACTCAGGGCAGCCTCAGCATGATGGGAAGCCATGGGCCAAGCCATCCCTGCAATGTGCAGGAGGGAGAAATCACATCAGATGGGATCGCTTGAATGTTCACGTTTTTATGAAGAAGGAATCTGGTTAGAATGATCATCAGGAATAGAAGAGGTCTGTGCAGGGAGAAGGGTGATGGGGAGTGTACTGTGGTGCTTTTGTGGAAAAGTGGATGGGATGTGGGTTTGCTTTGATGTAAGTGAAAAGAGAAGAGAAGGAAAGGAAGTGTGAAATGACCCAGTTGGTTTTTGCAATGAATGATGTGTAAGAAAATGGCCTTTTTTTTTTTTTTTTCTGGGTCACCAGGCAGCTCTGACCATCTGTCAGATGGCATCACTTCAGGCAGAGGGTGGGGTAAGAGAGAGCTTGGCCTTTGGAGGATTTCCTTAGGCGCCACTCCAGCACCTTCTTTCTCCTCCTCAGCGTCGGAGATGGTGAGGGATAATGGGATGCACGCTGGGAGCCTTCCCTGGATCCCCATATGGTCAGCGCTCTGTCTGAGCAAGTCTGTCCCCTTCTTGGATTCTTGGTCTTCTCCCTTTTACAGGAGGCTTACAAAGTTTATGTGAGCATTGAGGAAAAATATTTTGTAAACCTCCAAATGCTGTCTAATATTGTATCCTATAGTTCTCCAAGGACTGAGAAGGAAGATAGATGGAGTCTTAATCTTTTGGGGTTTGAGGGAAGCTCGCATACTGTGTGAAAAGTAATGAAGGTTTCAGTTTGAGATGATGAGGTTCTAGAGATGGCTGGTGGTGATGGTTGCACAACAATGTGAAAATGTGAATGGACTGAATGCCACTGAACTGTACACTTAAAAATGGATTAAATGGTCAATTGTATATGCTCTCTGTTTTACCATGACAGAAAAGTCACACCTCTATCCCTCCCCCAAAAAAGTAATGTACATACAGGACAAAGCTGATATGTGAGTAAATTTGCCACTCCAGCTATTACAGAGCAATTATTAACATTTTGTGGTGAATGCTTGTATTTGCAATCACTGTAAGGAATTAGGACCGGTTACCAGGACCCAACACAATATATTGTTGTTAGTGCTTTTGGATGGCTCTAGAAATTCTTTTGGGAGGGAGTAAATTATGTCACAATAATTGAAACAGAAATGAACTATAAGCTGAACTTAATAACATGATCTGAGATCACTTCTCCCCCTCTACCCCTGCCTTCAAGGTTGTTCTCCTACCATAGCACTACTTTTTCTTTGTTTCCCAATTTACTCCTTATCCCGGTAGGTCAAGGTGAAAACAGATTTGCATCTATAATACAGAAACATGTGAATCTCCTGTGGCCTCCTGTATGTTACTAAAAATGTCTCATGTTATTATGGACCCTGGTCCTGTGGGCCAGACTTTGCTCCCAGAAAGAAGCAAGAACTATTTGCACATCTCCCAGATCATTCCTTCCCCAGGCCTGTGGGCATCCACATCAAAGCCTTACAGGATCACCCCCAGTTTTTTCCTTTCTTAAGCTCCAAGGTGCTTTTGAAGATCAGAACCATAAGTATGAATACTGCTTGAGGGTATCTGCATTTCTGAGGAGTCTCCCATAGGCTGAAGGCCCAGAAAGTAACTCGGAAAGGGGTTGAAAGATAGATGCCTTTTGGATTGAGAAATTGTTTTACTTCATCACAAAATAAACTACTTATGGTTTGGGATTTAAATACTGGGACATGTATTGTACCTCCTCTAAATCATCCCAGAAAATGAAGCAGAAGAACAGTGTTCAATGTAGAACTGCCCATGGTGCCAGATGATTTTGAGTCACATACAGAGGCAGGCACAGCTCTCAAATGTTATGGCTACTTGTGTTTCCGACAGGCAGCCAGTTTCCTAAGAGGGGGTTGGGGGCAGGAAAAATTCAGTGCCTTCATTGTGGGCTGCTTCTTGTTGAATTTTGCTCCACAGGTTAGAAGACAGGTCCCAGTCTTCCTAATGAGGCATTGAAAGTCTAGGTGGAATAGATGCTTGCTGGAGCCTGTGGAGATTATAAAAGAGCTCACTGCCTTAACGTGGTCAGGAGAGGCAGGAGTGAGAGCCAGTGTGAAGGTGTGGGAGTTGGAAGGAACTTGGAACTCAACTTCTTTTGGCCCCTCAACTTGAGATTCACAAAGAAAAAAAGCAATGTCTCCTCGCTGAAAGGTAAGAGTTTAAAATTTATCTGAACTCTGAATATTATAGTTTGTTTTGGCTCCAGTGGCATATTTCCATAATGTATTTAAATCACAAATCCCTGCTCTGAGGCAAAGTCAAAACACCTGGTCTTAGTCCTGAGGTGAGGCCCTCAGAGCTGGAATAGTGCTTTGCCCTGTGCAGGGGCCATTATCAGATTTATATACAATGGAAAAGATTGTCTAGAACCTAGAGAGGCACTAACTAAGTCTTATCCTTTTCCTCCTTAGCAAAATGGAAACTCCTCCTTGCACAGTGCAGCCCCTTCCTCGCTATAGGTTATTTCAAGTGAGAAGAATAAACATGACTTCCAAATGCCATCTAACAATATATGAATATCTAAAGGAGACAAGGATGACTGAATGCATCTTCATGTGTAGGAAGTGAAGTGGCTGTTGACATTAAGTACTTCTTCATGAGTGAGAGGAGGCCCGTGATGGAGATGACACCAGTACCTCCTTCTAGCACTCTGAATTCCCAGTGTTTACTACTGGTGTCTCTGAAACTACAGCATCCTCACCAGGACCACACAGGGAACAAAGGCAAGACACCTGAAATCCCTTTAGCCGTATTCACAACACTTACTTCATAGATAGGATGATGTTTGAAATATGAGAAGGATTTTTTTAAAAAGAGCACTCTGTTCTCTTGGTATCCTAGTATGAGTGTCTGAAAGTGCTCATTGGCTGGAAGGTTTCATGTGAGCATCAGCCGCAGGGTCCAGAAGACACTCTTGGCAAGCCTGGAGAGTGAGGATGTTGAACAGGCAGTGGAAGCATCCATGAAAAGCAGGCAGCTGCACAAGACTTTCCAACAGATGGCTGGTCACTTGCACAGAGGGAAGGAGCCATGGATTCCGTGATAATGACACTTGTGCCAGCTTTTGTGTTTCCAGAAGTATTGAAGATATAAGGGAACCAACACGTGTAGAGTATGTGAAGTCTTACAGAGACGAGGTCCTAAGGTATCTATTTTGACAAATCACGTTGCAAGTAATGTGAAAGCAGTTTGAAGAAAAAATGTCCCCATCTAATGCTGCATTAGGGCATGCATTTCTATAGCCTAAATCTGTCAGTGACATGAAAATACATGTTTTGTTGGACACAGAATAGGTTGAACACATAATAGGTTCTAGAATGGATCTGCATAAAGAAGTAAGAAGAAAGGATATAAAGGTAGAAGAATAAATGTATAAATATTACAACAGGACACTGAGCTGGGTGGCTCTTTACCATAGACCTCGCTCGTATTTCTCACTACAGGCTTGCTGTGAGTCAATTTCCAAGTTCTCTCTTTCTCCTTCCAAACTGCCCTGTATGTAATCTTGCTCCTGGGCCACCTGACTGATTTTTAATGCCTGGATATTTGCTTCCACCTCTGCATGACCAAACCTTGGCCAAGTCACTGTTGACTCAGTTGCAACATCTGTCCCCTGCTGAGGGCTGTCATAGCTTTCATAGCTTACAAACAGTCCAGCTTGAATCCAACATTTTCTGTGGTCATTTGGAGTAGCAAGAAGCATTGTGTTTTGGATTTACTGCAGAGATCACACGCTTAACTGTATACAGTCAGTTTTTATAGCTATCACTGCATCCAGGTTGGACAGTGACCTTGACTGAGACATCCTTTACCTCTGTTTCAGATCAATTTAGGCGGCATATAAAATCTCTGTGCACTGCCAGGGGAAAGTAAAGTGGAAGACTTCATGAAGAAATGGACAAGGCCAAATAGTTGACCATTGTTGCTGTATAAATCTTGGATCCAGGGCTAAAAGGTGGCAGTATAAATGCAGATGGTGCTGCTGCCATATTTTCCTAGCACATCTTCAAGCAGCATATTTCAAGCCGTCAGGGTTGGAATGGCATTTCCAAATATAAACTCAAAAAATCCTCAGGTGTTTGGTTCTAGAATAGAGCTGGGAATTTTGTCCTGCAAATGCCTTCTGCAGCATGGGAGCAAACCCACTCTTCTGTGTCTGATGCTTCAAACTTTCTATTTTCTGGAAACTGGAGAAAGATGTGGGTCTACATTTTGAAGTATATGCCTTGAACAGGAATTATGCACCTATAGAAAACTTGTCATACATTGAGTAAACTCTCAGTTTACAGAAATCTATGGAAATATCAAAATAAAACATCAGAAGGAGCGGTAACTATAGAGGTTACTAACTAAGGGGATTACCTGAAAAATAAAGTTATATTTGCCAAAAACTGTATTTGATTAGTTTGGACTTCTTTTTTCCTATCCCTTTTCTGTTTTATATTTATATTTCATTTCTTCTAAAATTAAGTGATCTGTCATGATCTAATATTGTAGAAAATGTCCAAGTCTAGACATTAGGATGGCTTTTGTTATTTTAGTCACATGCAAGAAGCAGAATGGTTTTGTGGAGAGAGCTCTATCTTTGGAGTCCAGCTCTACCTTCGGTGCTAAACCCAGGCATCTTTGTCCTGATTATAGTACCCCTCTGGCTTCTCCTTATGTTTGTAAAATGAGGGGGGCTCTCTGAAGTATCCTTCTGGCTGTAAAATCTATTAGCTCTTATTGCTGAAGGTTGCTTCTGTTCAGAGTTTCTAGGTTTCTTATAAACTGAGGAGCCAGAGGTCAGGAGGAATGGAAACTTGTTATTCCATTTGTAACATTGTTCAAAGTTTTAAATACAAACACAAGTAATTAATCTGTCATCGTTGCTTGAACATATTATACTTCACTGAATGATAAAATACAATCTTTAGAAAAATTTGTTATGAGAAATAAATGTTGCTGCTTATCTAAAATTTTTTGGGGTCCTTCAAATTAATGCTTGTAGCAGCAGTTATCAGCCCTGGCTGCGCATTAGCGTCTCTTAGAAAGCTTTTCAATATGCCAGTGTCTGCCCTCCCACCCTCAGAAGTTTTTATCTAATTTGTCTGTTGTGGGGCCTGGGTACCAGTATTTTAAAGAGACAAGATTGAAAACAAAATACATTCAATTCCCAAGACTGATGTATGCATGGTTCCCATGAATGGCTCGTACCTATCCACCCTCCATAGCAACCACATGTGGTCCCCTCCAACGTGCTGTCATGTTTCACACATGTCATTTCACACTGCTCCATCTTTGCGTCTTCTGTTGTAGCCTGGAATGCCATGCCCCAAGAGGCTTAGACTTTCTTGAACCCCTCCCTACAGTATAGATTTCTTTATTAGCATAGCTCCTGTACTTTGTAATGGCCTGCCTTGCACTCATTCTTCCTGTATTGTAAATATTTTATCCACCATTGTACATATTTATATTCCTACATTCGCTCATGTCTCTTGGGCTTAATGCCCACCCCTGCCCAAGTGCTTTCGCATTGTACCTACCTTGGCCTGTAAGGCCTCACATGATCTCTTTCTCATGTCCTCTCCCTGAACCATGACCTCTTTCTCAAACCTCTCTTCCTACCACTTCCTGCTTGTTCATTTCAGCCTTACAAGCCTCCTGACCCTCAAACATACCATGCTTGTCCTCATCTCAGGGCCTTTGCACATGTGGTTCCTCTGCCTGGGGTGTCTTCCCCCGCTCATCCTCCCATCTGCCTCCTCCCCAGCATTCAGGCCCTCACTCAAATGCCATCTCCTCAAAGTGGCCTTTCTTAACCATCTTAGCTAGAGTAGCCTGTCCCCCACTCTACCATCCCAGCATCACACCCCACCCCACTGCTTCTGTGTTCTTTGTGGGACTTGTAGTATCTCAAGTAATATTGTTGTTTTGTACACATGATTTTTGTAAGCCTTCCATAACTGGAATGTACGTTTTATGAAGATAGCAACTTTGTCTTGTGGGGGCTTAACAAATATTGAACACATGAAGATTGTCTCCCCTGTGAGATAGTGCAATGCTTAGTGTAGTGACTGGAAAGATGGTGTTCATTAAGTACTTCATGAGTGATGTTTCCTAGATGTTTCTCCTTCAGAAGCAGAACCACCAAAGAGCTCAAATAATACTCATAAAAATTAGGCTGATTTACGTTTACATTTTCTTAATTTCCAGTTTTAAAAAGCAGAGAAAAAAATATGTTTTTTCTTTTTATAAGAAAATTATGTCTCTCCCTAATTTAAAAATCTTTATTTCCAGGACCCACACCTATATAGAGACGCCCTCTCTCCAGGAGTCCCGTTCAGCAGATACCAAAGGGAAAGGGATTCCTCTGGAAATCAGTTTTGCCTAGAAGCCCCAAATTTAAACTGACATCACTGCTCTGAGCCAATGTGAGAGGAAACAGATGTTTTTTTGAACATCTAAATTTGGAGGGCCCAGCGTGGTGGCTAACACCTGTAATCCCAGCACTTGGGGAGGTTGAGGCAGGCAGATCACTGGGGGCTGGGAGTTTGAGACCAGCCTAGCCAACATGGTGAAACCCTGTCTCTACTTAAAATAAAAAATACAAAATTAGCCAGTCGTGGTGGTGTGTGCCTGTAATCCCAGCTACTTGTGAGGCTGAGACAGGAGAATCGCTTGAATCTGGGAGACAGAGTTTGCAGTGAGCCAAGATCACACCACTGCACTCCAGCCTGGGCAACAGAGCAAGACTCCATCTCAAAATAATAATAATAATAATAATAACAACAAAATAATAATAATAAATTTGGGGACTTTCCAAATAGGTGACTGGACAGGTAAAGAGGAGGGAGGGGGTGGTCCAAGAGTGAACCCTGTGTCCTTGCAGGGCTCTGCCTGAGCGACTGGGCCCAGGGCTCCCTTAGATCCCTGCACTTTACTGCTGACCTGTGGCTCCCGTGAAATTGTTAAGCAGGAGACTGGTTGCTAGTCATGGTGGTGGCAGTTCTAATTCCTTCTCCCTAGCTTGGCTCTTGCCCTGGGATACCTAGAGGTAGAGAATAATTTGGAAAGTTGTCAGAAACATTGGGAGCATTGGGAGCAAGTATGGAAGAGCACTGGACTCTCCAGAGAACACAGCATCTGTAAGGAGAAAGATATAGCAAGCCTGTTTTCCCATCTGTGAAATAGAGGGGTTGAGCTAGATGGTCTTTAGTGGCTTCTCTGTTTCTAACCTGCTCAGTCTGTAAGAGTTCGTAAGCATTTTGTTATTGAAGTGATCAACATTCAAACTCTAGGCAAAAGGTGTTTTCATCATGTAATTCTTTCAGCACAGATAACAGGTATTCTCTGTGTAAAATTGCATGACACTCTTTGTGGACACTGTGTATCAAATTGAGGTAGTAAATTACTGTTGCAGCAAAGTCTGGTTGGGATGCCATAGAGTGTATTCTCCCATAGAGTGGCCAATAGTCACATGTAGCTATTAACATTAAAATTAGTTAAAATAAAATTAAAAACTCAATTTATCACTCACATTAGCTACCTTTCAGGTGATCAAAATGCACACATCTTCTCTTTCCAGTACAGTTCTCAATTGGACAGAGCAGATATGTGCATTTCCATCATCCCAGGAAGTTCTATTGCACAGTACCGGTTTGGAGTGCACCCCTGCCCTCAGGTGAGAGTTGTATAGTTACAGAGCTGCTAAGGACCCACCCATCTCTAAGGCTGAGGGGTTCTGTGACTTTGTGTTGGGAAGATCATATTCCTGCTCTTCCTTTGCTGAAAAGGTTTTTGGTTTCCAAAAGTACTGAGGTTGGTGGAGAAGTACAAAACAACTGCAGGGAGTTCCTGTCTGCCTGAGGAGATCATCATTCACCTCAAGAATTGCAGTGAGAGAAAGAGACGATGAAATGATACTGAAAAGCCCTTTAACAAGTTGAAGAGTTACATGAGTATAAGGCAAGATGATTGTTAAGTGAATGCATTAGATAGAAAGGCCACTTGCTCCTGGACCCTCCTTGACTTCCATCCCTCTAAGCCAATCAAAATGAAGTTGGTTGCCATTGGCAACTGATTCTCTATTTTGTCCAAGCTCTGGCAACCTGAGTTAGAGACACTATGAGAAAGTTCAGGGCAGAGCAAGCAATATTGGCTTCTGCTGGTTTGAGTCATGTTTACCTTGGCTTGAAGGGAGTCCCTAGAATGCTGGTGAGAGTCACTGGGAGGGCCTGGATCAGTGGCTCAGCCAAGTTCAAAAACTAAGGGAATCTCCGTGGTACCACTTTCCCAGATGAGGCTCATAGAAGAGGTGACTCTACCCTCTCTGCATATCTCTTGATCAGCTTTCCCTGTGTTTCCTCTCATGTCTTTGCATCATAGTTTTAACTCCTGTTGTGACAATATGTTATGTTAAATATTGTAGAAAAGGCACCAAATGTGGTGACTACAGCCACATGCCTCAGGTTTGGATTAGATCTCAATGGGCCTCTCATGGAAGAGGACACTGGGAGTGATTTGGAAGGCATCTCCATGTGTCTTCATTGTCAACACTGCCTCCAAGCACATGGCACTGTTCTGGGAGCTATAGGAACCAGTGACAAAGGCACATGAGTGGACAAACACCCAAACACAGACAAGTATATTTAGAGTATATACTAAGAGATCATAACTCTAAATGTTGACTCTTGAGTGGAAAGACATGGGATTTGAGTCACATGGACCTTGATCTCAATCCTGTTTATTGACTGTGTTATCTTGGACTCTATGAGCCTCTGTTTACTCATGTGAACTGGAAATAATGCCTTACCTTCAAGGATGTTCTAGGAATGAGTGATGAACACATAGTGGTGGAAGGCTTTGCACATTGAGGCACATAAATTATTTCCTTTCCCTTTCTGAGGGGTCAGTGCTGTGATTTGGAGGGGAATGGTGGAGTGACTATGGAGAGTCCATGCTTAGAGAATGGAAACCACTGCATTTTACTAAGATTGTTGGCTGTCTGGTGGTTTGGAAAATAGGGTGGGGATGGGGTGGATTTGGCTAACTGGATCAGGAAGGATCTCCCTACAGGGTAAGGGCTCACAGGAGTGGAACTGCCCATCTCTCTTTAATCCTGAGCCAGTGGTTGATGTTTTGGTAGCTTTAACTTCTCTTCACCTGTGGGCTCTAGCTGTATAGGGGTTGATACTTGCAGGTAATTTGCAACTACTGGTGCAGTGGAATCCCAGGGATTGACAGAGGGGCAGTGTGTGTACTTTAGGGGGAGGGAAGGAGGATCCCGTCTCCCTGGTGCCTCATGTCTAGTGAAATGTTGTTCCAATCAATGGCATTGATTGGTCTCTGATGGAGATGTAGTTCTATCAGTTCAATTTCCTGTTTCACTATAGAATGTGACTGTATGTGTTTGTGAGAGAGACACAGGGAAGAAGTCATTATCGACAGTGGAAAATAAGGGAATAGTCAGGGGAAGAGAGAGAGGACAGTTCTCTCTGGGACTGTCAGTTGTCCTGAACGTGGGAGTAGTGACTTGCTGGAGTGGGACTATGGAAATTAGGATAACAGGGTTTTTTCCACTAAGGAAACTAGAGAAGGAAGTAAGATCAGTTCACATGTAGGATCAATGTTCTGAATACAAGAGGCAGATGCCCATTGTTGGATGTGAGAATCTAAGGTGGAGAGGAGGGCTGGCTTGGTTGAAACTCAACCAAGAGCATTTCAGAGTTCTTTCCTCAGAAAATACCGTGGCAAAGCTTTAGGTAGCTATAGATGTACTTGGGATGTGTGGTTAAAAAACAAAAACAAATAACACAGGGACCCAGTCCATCATTCTGATTCCTTACCAACCACATCAAGGCTTTAAGATATGGCTTTACCCCAAGGAACCTTTAGCTCCTCCCTGGCATCTTGCAAACTTTTCTCTGAAGGAATGTCTCTTCTCTGAGTGTGATGAAGGGTATTGAACCATTAGAAA